CTTGCATGCCCTCTTTCTCTATCTTTCTCTCTCTCTCCTCTCTGATAAATAAATAAAATCATTAAAAAAAAAAAAAAAGGTCCTGGGTTGGGATATCTGTCCTCCACAACTCTCTAATAGCTTTCCTTCATCTTATTTTTTTTTTAATTTTGTTTCAGCCACACTTGCTTTCTTTCTATCACTCAAATAGTCTAGAAAGACTCCTACCTCAGACTGGTTTAGTCATTGTCCTCTCTGCCTGAACTCTCCACTCAAACATCTGCATGGCTTATCCTCTCACCTCTTTCATGTTCTTTCTAGTAGTTCTACCAACTGCTGAGAATGGGGTATTGAATTTCCCAGGTAAAACTGTGAGTTTTTCTATTTCTCTTTTCAGTTCTATCAGTTTTTTCTCCCATGTATTTTGAAACTCTTTTGTTTCATGCAACACTTGTTTCTTATATGTAGCTGTTATGAAGAAATTCAATGAGCTACAAGAAAACTCAGGTAGATAATCCAGTAAATTCAGAAATAAAATTAATGAAGAGAATAAGTTCTTTACTTATTAAAGAGTTTAAAATTATAAAAAAATATAAAAAAGAGATTAAAATTATTAAAAAAACAAATTCTGGGATTAAAATTATAAAAATTATTAAAAAAAGAGATTAAAATTATAAAAAAAAACAAATTCTGAAACTACAAAAGTCTTAAATGAGATGAATAATGCAATACAGAGCATAGGTAACAGGGCAGACTAAATGAAAGAAAGAATAAATGACTTGGAGAATGGGAATGTAGAAATACTTCCAGCTACAAGAGGATAAAAGAGAAGAGAGGGAGAAAGATGCAAAGAGTTTACTTAAAGAAATATTAGCTGAGAACTTCTCAAACCTTGAGAAGGAATGGAACATACAAGTCACAGGGAAAAGACACTTTCATACTCCCAGCAAGACAGATAGTGACTTAACCAAACTTGAGTAGCACAAGGGGTGAGAAGTCCCTCTTCAGAGGTCCTGCAGAGCTCTTCCTGCAGAAGTGTATGTTGTGACATGTCTTCTATGTCTCAGAAGACCAAGGTTTGTGAGGGAATGCAAAGAGTGAAAGAAACCTTCCATTATAAGAAGTAGTAGTTTGGATCCTGTGATTGATGGATTGGAGCAGATTTTAACAGAAATAGCTGTGGGCTCAGTTTTTAGGCCACATGTAATTCAGCTGAGGACAAATACATGAACAGAAATAATAAACTTAGGAACATGCACAGGGAAGTTCCAGGTGTGGACCAATGAACAGAGAGGTCCCACCAAGGCCACAGATGTGCTCTTCAGTCCGTTTTCTGTCCTGTTAACAGGGCCAGGTTAGAGCTGTGGTTCTCAGGTGTGGTCCCTGGAACAACAGTATCAGCATCCCTGTCAACTCCTTAGAAATGTGCATTGTAGGGAAGGAAGCCTGTGTGGCTCAGTCAAGTTAAGCAATCCAGAGGGGTGGGAAAAAAGTTAGTGGTATCACACTTGCTGATTTTAAACTATACTATAAAGCTATAATAATAAAAACATTGTGTACTGAGATGAAAATAGATACATGGACTAACAGGACATAATAGAGAGGCCAGAATAAAACCCTCACATATACAGTTAACTAATAGTCAAGGTGGGAGCCAAAAACATTCAAAGGAGAAAGGACAATCTTTTTAACAAATGGTGCTGGGCAGACAAGATACAAATATGGAGAACAGCAATAAAAGTAGGGGATCTTAACACCCCACTTACAGCCAGGCACAGATCATCTGAACAGAAAATCAACAAGGAAACAAAACTTTGAATGACACACTGGAACTAATATATTAGGTACATTCAGATCGTTCCACCCCAGAACAGCAGAATACACATTCTTTTCAAGTGCACATGGAACATTCTCTAGAATAGATCACATATTAGGCCACAAAGCAACCATCAACCAATTCAAAAAGGTCAAAATCATACCATGAATCTTTTCTGACCACATTGCTATAAGTTAACCATAAGAAAAGAAAATAGGGATAGACCACTAATACACAGAGTTTAAATAATATGCTACTAATCAATGAGTGGGTCAGCCAGAAAATAAAATAAAGAAATTTTAAAACACATGGAAACAAATGAAAGTGAAAATACAATGAATGGTTCATGGCACGTAGGTGGCTCAGTCGGTTAAGTGTCTGCCTTCACTCAGGTCATGATCCTGGGGTCCTGGGATCAAGCCTCACATCAAGCTCCCTGATCAATGGGGAGCCTGCTTCTCCCTCTGCCTCTCTCTTTCTCTGTCTCTCATAAATAAATAAATAAAATCTTAAAAAATAATACAATGGTTCAAAACCTTTGGGATGTAGCAAAAGTGGTTCTAAGAGGGAAGTTTATAGCAATACAGGCCTACCTCAAGAAGCAACAAAAATCTCAACTAAACAACCTAACCTTACACATAAAGGAGCTAGAAAAAGAACAACAAACAACTCAAAACCAGCAGGAGGAAGTAAATAATACAGATTAGAGCATAAATAAATTGTATAAAACTAAAAAACAAAACAAAACAAAACAAAAAACATAAAACCAGGAAACCAATAATGAAGCAGCAGAAGGAAAAACTAAGAAAACTATAATTTACAATTTTACCCAAAATAATAAGATACCTAGGAATAAACCTAACCAAGGAGATAAAAAACCTGTACTCTGAAAACTATGAAACACTGATGAAAGAAATTGAAGATGACACAAACAAATGGAAAGGCATTTCATGCTCATGGATTGGAAGAAAAAATATTGTTAAAATGTCTATACTACCCAAAGCAATCTACACATTTAAGGAAATTCCTATCAAAATAACAACAGCACTTTTCACAAAACTAGAACACATAATTCTAAAATTTGTATGGAACCACAAAAGAACCTGAATAACCAAAGCAATCTTGAAGAAGAAAAGCAAACCGGGAAATACCATGGTTCTGGATTTGAAGTTATATTACAAAGCTCTAGTAATCAAAGCAGTATGGTACTGGCACAAAAACAGACACACAGATCAATGGAACAAAATAGAAAACCCAGATATAATAATAATACTGTCAATTCAACTTTGACAAAGCAAAAAGAATAACCAACAGAATAAAGACAGTCTCTTCAACAAATGGTATTGGGAAAACTGGACAGTTACATGCAAAAGAATGAAACTGGACCACTTTCTTACACCACACACAAACATAAATTCAAAATAGTTTGAAATCCTAAGTATGAGACCTGAAACCATGAAAACTGTAGAAGAGAACAGAAGAAATGACATCTTTGACATCAGCTATAGCAACATTTTTCTAGATACGTCTCCTGAGGCAAGGAAAACAAAGCAAACATAAACTATTGGGAATACATCAAAATAAAAATCTTCTGCATGGCAAAGGAAACAATCAACAAAACTAAAAGGCAGCCTATGGAATGGCAGAAGATACTTGCAAAGGACATATCTGATAAAGGATTAGTATAGAAAATACATAAAAAACATAAAACTCAACAGCCATAAAACAAACAATCCAATTAAAAATGGACAGAAGACATGAAAAAACATTTTTCCAAAGAAGACATACAGATTGCCAACAGACACATGAAAAGATGTTCATCATTAATCACCATGAGAGAAATGCAAATCAAAACTACTGTGAGATATCACTTCACACCTGTCAGAATGGCTAAAATCAAAAAGAGAAGAAATAACAGGTATTGGTGAGAATGTGGAGAAAAAGGAACACTGGTGCACTGTTCCTGGGAATGCAGACTCATGTAATCACTGTGGAAAACAGTATGGAGATTCCTCAAAAGGTGAAAAATAGGGGCACCTGGGTGGCTCAGTGGTTTAAAGCCTCTGCCTTCGGCTCAGGTCATGATCCCAGGGTCCTGGGATCGAGCCCCCATCAGGCGCTCTGCTCAGCGGGGAGCCTGCTTCACCCTCTCTCTCTGCCTGCCTCTCTGCCTACTTGTGATCTCTGCCTGTCAAATAAATAAACAAAATCTTTAAAAAAAAGTGAGAAATAAAAACTACCCTATGATCCAGTAATGTAAATTGGAAAACAACACGGAGGTTCCCCAAAAAATTAGAAGTTGGCCTACCATCCATATGATGCAGCAATTCCATTCTGGGCATATATCCAAAGGAAGTGAAAATAAGATATCAAAAAAATACAAAAAATATAAGTTCATGAATATTACAACATAATTCACAACAGCCAAGGTACAGAATGAAACTTAATTGCCCATACCAATGGATGACTGGATAAAGAGGATGTCATACACACATACACACACAAACAAGATATAATATTCGACAGTGAGAAAGCAGGACATCCTGCCACTTGCAACAACATAGATGGACCTTGAGAGTATCATGCTGAATGAGTAAGTCGGAGAGAGGAAGACAAGTATTGCATGGTATCATTTATATGTGGAATCTAGAAAGCCAAATTTATTAAAAAAAAAAAAAAAGGTAAAATGAGAGTTACTAAGGGATTGTGTGGGTGGGGGATAGGGCATGTGCTATTCAAAGGTAAAAATTTACAAGTAGTAAATAAGTCCTAGAGACCTAATGCATAGTATAGTGAATTTAGACAACAAAATTGTATGACAATCATCAAACTTACCAAGAGACTAGAACTTTGATTCCAACCACAAGAAAGGATCACTATGTAATGTCATAGAGGTTCTAATTATTGCTACAATGGCAATCATATTATAATTATATTATAATATAATATACTAATATACCAAATTGACATGTTGCACACCTTCAAATTGCACAAAATGTCAAATATATTTTAATAAAATTTTTTTCATAAAATAGCTAATCACAAGATCTTTCTAAACAATAACAGGTCAAGAGGAGGGGCAGGGAAATAAAAAGAACTTAGTTGTTCATGACACAGATTCTGTACATCCAGTGCAGAGGAGTGTGGGTTTGTGTAAGAAGGGAGAACCTAATACCTACTGATGATTTTTTCTGGTCTCTTTCAGTGGACAGTTCTGGAAAAATCAGTAAGTTTAGATCATTTCTTTGCCTTACCTATTTCTGGTCTAGGACCTTTGAGGATTTTTTTGTTATGTATTTTATATTTCATGTTCTAATTTATTTTGTATTTCATGTTCTTCTACCTTAGAGTAGTCAATATTCCTCAAATAAGTGATTTTCTCATACTTTGATTTCTTCTTTTCTATTTCCCTTTTGGAACAAAATATAATGATCTTGTCTCATAATTCTGGCTATTTACCACAAGGAAGCCCATTTTCCTGATGCTAGCATCTGACAAAGGATAATTTTTACTAGAAAAAGAAAATCACCTAAACTTGACATAAAGAACCTGACATCTTGTCAGGACAAGATGGTGATTTTGATAATTGGCCAAATATGTATTTTCCAACTTACCTAAAGGTGAGTGAGTAAAAAACTGACTTGTGAGAGAACAATGAAAGTAGGAAATGTGATAGTTTGAAATTTGGTAGAATAGATATTACCAACACAAGGATTCCATCCCATACATTAACCAAGGGCATCCTAAAGAAAACCGTCTCTGTGAAGTAGGATGTAGAGCATTGGGCCAGCAGCACTCCTGAGGATGAAACAGCGGGTTTTATAGTACCTGGAGGTGTTGTTTCTGCGTTCACTTACAAAAGATATTATTGGGAGTGGGATTTTCCTTGAATTAGAAAAGTCCCACTGATTGATCTTTTATGTTTTATTTTTAGCACTATCTCCTATGGGTAAGTTTTTTATTCTCAACTGTGATATTTTACATTGTTTATATTTTCTGGACTTGCTGTTTCTACTCCCAAGATGGAGACTTGTGTTTCTAAGGACATTTTAAGTGTTTCTATTCTCCAGAATCTTCTAATATTTTAAATAACTATTTTTGGAGAGACAGCTGTAGAGGAAATGAAATTCATACAAAAGGATGCCATAATCTCTGGCCATCTTCTAGGCTCTGAAAAAGAATCTCCTTACTAACTCCCAGAAAAATATAATGACAAAAAGATTGGTTTCTAGATTTTGTGAGTTTTTTGCTGGTAATTTAGAACTTCTTTTTGGTAACAAGTGAAGGTCCATTGAATCATATTAACAGGAAAAATAACTAATTAAGAAAAAAACTTTATTTTCTCTTGCCTTCTAAGTAACTTTACTTTTGAGGAATAGTAGGTATTGAGCCCCTCTCTATACTGTGCACTGTGCTAGGCATTTTCAGAAACATTATCTCTTATTCTTACCATAGCCTATCTGCTAGTTATTGTTATTCCCTACTTTACACATCAGTAAATTTGCTCACACTTGTCCAAGGTTTAAGAGTTGGTAAACCAGGTGGTGGGTATTGGGGAGGGCACGTATTGCATGGAGCACTGGGTGTGGTGCAAAAACAATGAATACTGTTACACTGAAAAGAAAAAAAAAAGAGTTGGTAAACAACACTGCTGCCATCTAAATCCAGGACTTCCTGTCTCCAAAGTACATATTCTTTCCATACCAACACATTGCCTTCTATACTGAACCACAAAGACCTTTTTTGTGATTAGTCCTGAAACCATATCTATAAATAAAATGTTTGTAAATACAAATATACATCCACTAGAGAAGGTATATAATGAAATGTACACAAAGGGTAGTTTTAAAAATAAAAGACATCCCATTTAAATCAATGTTTGGCTTTTAACTGTTTTCTAAATTCAGATTTCCCATCAGGATTATTAATGCCTCAGCTCCTCAATAAAATCATATGAAACAGAATAATAATTCTTAAAACCCTGTCAATATACAACTATAAGAAACAAGTAAAACTTAAATTTAGTAAGATAGATTCAAGCATCTCGAACTTTTCCAACACTAACAAACACAAAATACATCTTTATATTTAATTGTTCTTTCTCAGTTCACACTAGGAGAGTGGGTTTGTGAGTGGGAGGTGGGGAAGTTGAAAAGGATAATTATTTTCTTTGCATTCACAGTCCAAAAAATAATATGCATTCAGAGCACTCATGATGTATTTGCATCTTTCAAATGCACATGGAGAAGGTGATAAGAGAACGTATGTTTTCTTTACAAAAAGAAAGAGGGCTTTGGGAAGGCACCATAGGCTAAGGCCCTCTCTGAAAGTGAACTCATTTTTAATGAATATGCTTTTTTAAATTGCCAGGAGAAAAATCATCTCAATCTTTTAAAACTTTTCTTGTAAAAGATCTATTCTTGTCGACAATATTTCAAACATATTCTTCCCTGTTGATACTTTTAACAAAAAGAGATTAAGATTTAATTCATTGTTCAAAGAAATATTTAAGACAGATCAGCTTATCAAACTTTACCACCCTCTCAAGTTGAGTATATTAATTTCTCATCTCCACATTCAGCTAATTAAGTATATGATTTTTTTAATATTAATTAATGGACTGAGATCTACAATGAGTCCTTTCCCTGATGCTTAACAGATCTTTATGATCTAGATCTGTGTGTGCTCTCCCTGACAGCCACTGGCTTAGGAACTTAATAGGAATAATTTTCTAATAAGGTGCATGGTCTAGTCACCACATTATTTTAAGCATCATATGATTAAAATTATTACTCTAATAGCTAACTCATGATATCTTTTAGCTTTAACAAATTTTTAATCCAGTTTAAAATCTTTAAGTAACCTGAATACATTATAATAAATGCCAAGTTCTTGATTAAATATTTCCCTTATAATTAGAATTTTGCCATATAGGCTACTTTCTGCAATAAACAGACTTTTAGCCAGGGCTTACAAATCTTTATATTATAGAGATTATGAGATCCGGGTTGTGGGGGGGAGATCTATGTACCATGTAGAAATTTGAGAGAAGGGAGGGAAGAACTTAGAAATTGGTGGAATAATGATTTGTAGCTGACTTCTACAATGCAATTAAGTTCCGGATGCAAAATATACAGCAAAGATATTAAAACAACCAAGCATATTACATTAGAAGTGACTAGAAGTATTTTTTAGGGTAGAGGGAAAGACAGTAAAATTCTTTAAATCCTATAAAATTAGAAAAAGTATAGCTAGAATAAACATTTTATTTAAATCCTAGAATTCTTACCTTTGATTAACAAAAATCTATATAATTTAGGTGGTAAAGTTAGCTTTAAAATGAGTGCTGCAGTAGTATACACAGTAGTAAATATGAAACAAACTAAAGATGGTAAAACTAAAGATAGTCATATATTAAGAAAAGTCAGCTTGTTAAGGAACACATTGCACAGAATTTGTAAGGTTAGAAGCTTCAGTGGAAAAACATTCTCTTCCTCACACCACACCACATCCTCCCAAAAAACAAGCGTCCACTGGTAGTATTGTCAGAAATCAAAATATTCTGAACGCTCTTCTTCGGTACAAAAATGCTTAGGATATATTACTACTGATTTTCATTAGTAAATTGGAAGTGGTTTGTCTAGAATAAAATGTCAGTACCCATATCTTATTAAATAATCATTGGGGAGGAAAAAATACACAAAAAGTTCAGAAAGCACTGCTGTAAGATTTTTAATGTTATTGTTATTTTGCGTCAGAGTCTAAAATATCAAAAAGGCAACACTGAACTACATCATCTCTTTTCACTTACAGTTACCTTCTTACCTAATGCAGGTGTGTCTCACATTTGGCAACTTGTTATTTGGTTATGTGTACATCAATATTTCAGACATTGAACCCTAAACATACCAAAAGCCTTTCTAAGTTAAAAAAAAAAAAAGTTTTTAAGCAAGAAATCTTCCTGTGAAGCAATTAACCATTCCTCTAAAGTATTTGGTTGGAACTAAGAATTCCTTGTCTTGATAGATCAGACTTTCTGATTTGGCAGTAGTTATAGTCAATATTAGACTACTTACTATGCTCCATGTATTGTATTGAGTGCTTTACTTAGGTAATATTATTTAATCTTTATAACACTTCTGTGAAGTAGCCACTACTACTGCACCCATTTTACAGATAAGAAAGTAAGATTCACCCAAGCTCACCTGGCTAGTTAGGTATGAAGCCAGGATTTGAACCAGTCTGTCTGTAAAAGCCATGCTCCTTAAACATTTGTCTAGAATCCTTTAATAACTTTACAAAATGGGCAGAACAAGTTAAATATAAGGAAGGTGAGTCTTTGGGGATTAACTGGCTTACCCAAATAAACCCAGCTAGCAGAAATACTAAACCCAGGTATTCTAATTCAGTTTTTATATTCAGTATTCTTTCTATTACACTATTTAAATAGGTTTTCTTAAAGGAAGTCATGCCACTGCTCCATAGCAAGAACCCACAAAATTCTTCCTGGTAACATAGATATATATATATTTTTCTTAATCCAGGGAACCAAATCACTAAAATAAGAAAAGAAAACAGAAACTAAAAAATTCAGTTTTTATTAGCTCACACAGAAATTGAGACATAGTAGAGCTCACTTACCTATGTAGGGAAAAAGGGAACAGAAATTTTTGCAAAGTGAGTTTGCAGGTATCGTTAAGGAACTGTCTAAAGCATTGGTTTAGTCTGAACTCTGAAGTCTGACTTTTCAGGTTCAAATCTCAGCTCCACCACCCACTGACTCCAGGGCATATTCACATTCATTTAAAGTTCCTGCACCTCAGTTTTTTTATCTGTAAAATGGGGATAATAATAGTACCTGCCCTATATGGTTGTTATGAAGATTAAATGAGTTAATACTTTATATAAAATGCTCAGAACAATGAGTGCCTGATATATGATAAGCACCCAATGATTACCAGCTAATATTATCACTTTTGAATAATGAGACATTCTTATATTCAATATCCAAAGCATATTTTGAGTTTTTTCTATTTTAAGAAATAATTATTGCTTCTTTGCACATTTCTTTCTAAAAATAAATTCCATTTCTTTTCAGAATACATCCTCCTTTAGCTATTAAGCATTAATCATCAGCCATAATATACTGAATGCATGCCAGCCACTTCATTCATAATACATTTTACCTCTTCTTTCAATAATCTTCCAATTTATTGAAGAGTCTGGAATATTATCAATACCTGTATAACTTTAAGTATAAGAGTGCCATTATTTTATATTTTCATGAAATCTCAAGTTATTTCCAGTTTTTCAGTTTAAAGACAAAAAATAAACCAGTATCAGGGAAAAAGTAGAAATAAAGAGAAAGTACTTGATATCTGAATTGTGCACTTTTGTTGTGTGCTCAGTTATATTTCCAGGTTACATGGATGCAGAACTTGCAAAAAAATCTGATTTCAAGGCCAAGATCCTAAAAAATGGAGCCACTACAAAGTCTGAGAACAGCCAAGAAGAAAACAAGAAAACATTAAAGAAGGAAAAGCTAGTCACAGATTCTGATGAATCCTTGAACTCAGGGCACAAACCAGAGACAAAAACCAAAGCAAAAGATACTGAGTTGGAGAAAGGTGAAATAAAAATGGAGGTCAAGTTAAAGGAGAGTGACACTAGGATACCAAAAGAGGAAGACCAGGTAAAGGTGAGTGACATTGGAATACCACAAGAACAGGAGGCCCATGTAGAGATGAATGATACTAGAATACCACAAGAACAGGAAGACCAAGAAAAAAAGAGTGAGTACGGAATACTACAAGGGCAGAGATCCCAAGTAAAGAAGAGTGAATCTGGAATAAAACAAGAACAGGGATCTCAAGTACAGAAGAGTGAGTCTGGAATAAAAGAAGGACAGGGATCTCAAGTAAAGAGTGACACCAGAATACAAGGACGGGAGTCCCAGGTGGAGAATAGTGAAGCTGGAATACCACAAAGACAGGAGTCTCCAGTAGAGAATGGTGAAGCTGGAGTACCACAAGGACCACAGGAGTCCCCAGCAAAGACTAGTGAAGCTGGAACACCCCAAGGACATGAGTCTGCAGTAAAGAGTAGTGAATCTGAAATACCGCTAGTTCAGGGTCCTCAAGTAAAGAGAGAGAGTTCTGAGGATCAAGGCGAGCAGGGAAATGCAAGGAAGAAGACAGATACAGAAGAAAATGATGCTCTGAAGAAAAGTGATGAAGGAAAGCACAAAGTTAAAGGAAAGAAAGAATCAGAAGTTAAGAGTAAAAAAATAAGGTTCAGTAAGGGGCAAAGGCAAATAAAGGAAGAAGTACAACAAAAAGATGGAAAGGGTAAGGGTAAATAGAAGGAAGGCTCATAAGTCAACTGATTATTATGATTCCCATCCCCTAGATACAAGTCACAACCCAGTTATTGCTTAAATGGATCATAATTAGAGAATCCCTTTAATTTATATGTCTACAATAGATGTTTCACCAATTTTAGTCCTCCCAGCTACAAATCTTGGCTTCCAATTCTTTGCTTTCTAAGTTGATACTTTTATGACTTAGTCAAGAAAGATGATACTTTCTGAAATAAAACATTTTGAGAATGTTTGAAATGTATAATTTCAATGTAAAGAAATGTATAATTTTCTTTGACTACTATTATAATTAACTCAGTCACAGCCTAATCAATCAACCAATCAGTGCTCTTCATGGTAGGCTAAATGTTCATGAAACGCTGTTCTAGCAATAAGGGGTACAGAAAAATATGTCTGACTTCCTGCAATAGAACAGCTTTTAACACACATAGTGATATAATATGTGTATAGAGAACAATTTTTTAGAAGAAAATCTGTCAAAATATAGTTTAGATGGAGGTTATAATATGAGTTAGGAACCTCTTGGGATAAAAATATAAAGGGGATAGCTCCCTGAGGAAGAGAATGGTGGTATATATGTCTCAAAAGATGGATAAGATGTTGATACGCTGAGAGAGGTAGGAAGAGTACAAGAAAGGCAAAGAAATTCAGGACTGCCACACTGTGCTCTAAAAGAAGTAGCCAATTATACTGTTGCAGTAGGCTCATGAGTGCACTCTGGAATATAATTTTGAAAAAGAGGGTTAGAAGAAGATTCTGAAGGAATATGAAAAAAAAAAACCAGGCAACTGGGAAGCCTTCTAGGGTATTTGGGAAGGAGAGTTAGGTGAATAAGTTTGCATTACCAAAGCGTTAATCTTGTGATTATACAAAATAGACTGAAGAGGAGAAACCTCGAAAGTAGTAAGTCTAGTGAAGAAGTGTTTGAGTTGGAGTAATAAATGATGGAAAGAGAATAAATGGAAGGGATAGGTATGAAGTATTTTTTCAAAGAAGAGATCACTACTTCATGATGACTACGTATGAGTAAAGAAAATGAAAAAAAAAAAATTGATGACTCCATAACTTTTGAAACTGGGTGACCGAAAATCCATAACAAATGGATAGCTAGTTTGTGGGACAGGGAGAGAATAACAAATTGCTGAGTTTAAGGAAACAAACTAACACTTGTCATTCCAGAGGGTGTAGACCAGTAGAGATAATTGAAGTTATAGAGTAAATGAGTTCCCCAAGACAAAGTACAGAGCTAGCAAAAGCACAGTAAACTGAGCTTGTTAGAGGTCAAATAAAAAAGTTAAGGTATGGGAAGATGTAAGGAAAACCTGTACAACAAATGTTCTGATAGGAAGATGAAAATTTAAAGAAAGGAGTGCATTCCAATTTGCAGGTCAAAACATTTTCATTCCCACTAGGTCCTGCAGGTAAATATGTCATACAATAGGAAACTACAATTATGAAAACCATGTGTGCCCTTCTCTAAAGGCCACCAAAAAGCAGGCCAGTTAAAAATAATTGCTAATCTTCCCTTAAAGGTACAAGCATCGAAGTTTAAAAGGACCCCAGAAAAAGTAAGGGGAGAAGTGAGCTATCAAAATAACACGTTTGGCAAAATGATGCAAATACTAGGAAAATGAATAAGTACATGCAATTTCAATATAATTTAGATATAAAGATAGTAAAGTGGGACTTAAAAAATCAACAGCAGTAAATTGTTTCACAAATAAGCTAACATATATGTCAAATGCCCTGTTCACAAATGCCCAGTTTAGAACTTAGTTCTTATCACAAGGAAAAAAGAAAATGTGTAACTATGTGAGGTGACAGATGTTAACTGAACTTATTGTGGTAATCATTTTATAAAATATATATATATATAATATGCATATATATACATATGTCATTAGGTTGTACACCTTAAACTTATATGATGTTATATGTCAATTATATCTCAACAAAACTGGGCGGGGCAGGGAATCAAGTCTTATAACTTCAATATGTCAGTTTTTGTCAGTTTTACCTCAATAAAGACAGAAAAAATTAATGAGTAGAAGTCTTACCATTAGTCATTTTATGTGTAGGAAAAGAGCATAAGAAAAGCAGGAAACTGAGTTAAAGATAACAAAGTTGAATAAGAAATGCAAAGATATTGGGAAGTAAACAATTTATGTAAAATCAGATAATGTGACTCCTACTCCAACTGAAGATTTCTGCATTAAAAATGCAATTTACCATCGCCCATAAATATCTCTTACCCCAAGTTATAACTGGCATATCTAAGAAATGAATACAGGGAGCTGATAGAAGCGAAAAAGCATAGAATTTAAAACAGGATCCAAAGAGATAAAAAGTTAAACTGAGAAATTGATTAGGATGCTCAGTTTTACATTTGATGAAATTTCATTACCCACATTTTAAAATAGGAAAAACAACATCACTACTCTGTACCTGGGAGGTCCCAATTAGGTTTTAAAGAAATAGAAGCCTGTTTTTCTAGGGTTTGAGAACTAAGGATACTCTCATCCATTATCATCCAGAATCCTGAGCATCTGCCAAGGCTGTGAAGTAAAATCTAAGAGATACGACACTACAGATTATAAACATTGTAACCCAGTTCTCAAGAGTATTTTAAATCTTTGTTAAATTTCTCTGCAAAAATTAAAACTCATGACATTATCAGTGTTAACTTCCTGTGAATCTCTCCATATCTTAACCTATGCTCATATAAACATATATGCACATGGAGTCAATCTACACACATTATTCTGCAACTTGATTTCCACATCTAACACTATAACATGTGCATCACTCCAGGTTGAAGGACATCCTTCTAAAGCATTACCATCACAGTATAGTGGATGAATTACTGCATATTCAACCAAATCCTTAACAATGGACATTTGGCTTGTTTCCAGCTTTTGCCATTAGCCAAATGGTGATATAATAAACATCTTTGTACAATATAAAGATTTTATTTCTGTAGGATAGATTTCTAAAATGGAACTGGCAAATCAAGAGAAAAAGGAAATACGTATTTTTAATGTTAATGAAAATATGTAATCACTTTCCCAAAAATTTGTAATCACTCATTTTCTGAACAGGGATGTCTGAGTTCTATTTTCCCCACACACTCAGGGGTGCTACACAGAGTATCTACTGAGAAAAACAGTAATGAGAAAAGTGGTAGCTAATTCTTTTATGTCTGTGTAACGGGAACAATAATATCTAACTCTTGCTTTGATTGTATTTCCCCAACACCTAGTGAGACTGAGCAGTTCTTACAGGTTTCTTGGTCTTTTGGACTCACTCTTCTGTGAATTACTCATTTTCCATACTGGCAGTTTGTCCTTTTCTTATTCAGATTCAACTCAAGTAGGTGCTTTTTGTCTATTAATGTTTTTCACCTGCCATTTGTGTTAAGAAAAAAAAAAAAGTTTTCTCAATCTACTTGTTCTTGCCAACATCCAATTCATTCATGCTGTTCCCTAAAATTATATCCTGATTCTGACCACTTCTCACCTCCTTCATCAGGCAATCCAAGCCTTCCCCATAGCTCATCTGTACTATTGTGATAACCTCCAAAGAGAGCTTCTCTCTTTGTCAGAATCATACTTTTGTTCTAATTATTTTTTTAATTTTATTTTTAGAGAGAGAGCACACAAGCCCAGTGGTTGGGGCAGAGGTGAGAGAGAGAGAATCTCAAACAGGCCCCATGCCCAGTGCCGAGCCCCGTACAGGCTTGATCTCACCACCCTGAGACCATGACCTAAGCTGAAACCAAGAGTCAATCACTTTACCAACTGAACCACCCAAGTGACTCAAAACATACTTTTAAAATGTAAGCTAGATCATGTTACTTCTCTGCTCAAGACCCTCCAAAGGTCTTCTAGTCATTTCTGTGTGAAAGTCCAAAATTCTCAGGACCTTCACAGCCTCATAGTATGCAGCTTCTGGGTTCTCCTCCAGCCTCATGCCTCACTGCTGCAGGCACACTGTGGTTTCATTGTTCTTCATGCCCACCAAGCATGTTCCCACTTCAAGGTCTGCCTCAAACACTTTCCCCAAAACATGTACACAACTCACTTCCTTAATTCTTTAAGACGTCAGCTAAAACATGATTACCCTAACTCAAACAGTATTTCTCCACTCTCTATCCTTTTGTCCTGACTTTTCTTCATACCATTTATCCCTACCTCACATTACACATTTATGTGTTTACTGATTTTCTGCTCCCATAAAGATAAACTCTGAAATTCTGAAGACAGGAACTATGTTTTGTTCACTGCTGAATCTCTAGTGCTTAAAAAAGTGTGTCACACACAGTAGATGCGAAAAAAGAATTGTTAAATGAAATAAAATAAAATAAAATGAAGGTATCTTTTACTATATAGAAATTTATTGCATTTAGTCAAATGTGTCTGCCTTAATTCTGATAGTTTCTAGGTTTTCAATGCGTTTCCCCTACTACTGTGGTACACATACTCATTTTTTTTCCTAAAAATTCTCTTTCACACTTATTAAATCCATTTGTTTATGTTGTGAAATTGGTGTTTAGTTTTCTTCTCTTCCAGATGGAGATCAAATTTGTCAGCAGTATTTGTAAAATAAACCTTTCTCCACTACATAATGCATTTTAAAAGGCAGTAATGTTTCCCTCCAGGAAGCAAAAATTGGTTCTTGAGGGTCAAAAAATTGTATTCTATTAATGTATAAATCACAGATATTCATAAAGTACATAGGCAGATGTATAGTATATTCATGAAATATATAAGCAAACATATAATCTATTTGTAATATGGAAATCTTATGAGGGGAATGATTAGAATAAAAATGTCTTAAGGTTCCTTATGAGATTATAAGAAAATATGTCAATGTCATTCTGCTTTGATTACACAAGCTGTAGGAAAGTTTGAATGTCTATGAGGCATGTCTGGATCTACTCTTCTTTTTTTATTATTTTCTTGGTCTTTTGGGCATATAGTCTACCATGTGAACTATATATATTTTTCGGTTCTCCCTCTAATCTTTGCTTTTTTTCAAGTTATTTAATTTCAAATTATTTAAATTCCAGTTAGTTTACATACTTTGTAATACATACTTTGTAATATTAGTTTCAGGTGTACAATTTAATAATTCAAAAATTCTATACAACACTTGGAACTCATCACAACAAGTGCATTTCATCTCCACACTCACCTCTTTCTCTATAGTTAAGAGTGTTTCTCGGTGTGCATTTTA